TGCTATTGCTATCGTGGAGAATACCTATTTTCTATCTGCACTGAATACTTCAAGGAAGCATACAAAAGATTCAACTTCATTATTAGCCCTGCCAACTCATATCAGTGGAAGGAGGTCTACTACAGATCCCATCTGCTAAGAAATTCTGGTGGGCAGGGTCAGAGAGAAGATGAGCCTTTTTATGCTGTGGTCCCAGCCTTGTGGAACATTCTACCATTGGAGCTGAGAACTGCTTTAAGCATTCCAGAATGATATTAGAACTTGCTTTTGCCAGCTGGTTTGGGGTCCCAAGTGTCATGGTCTGCCGGTGGCCTGTGAAGCTGACAGCAGAGTCGGGCAGTGGGAAGAACAGTCCTGGAATCTGGGGAGAGCTCAGATGAGAGGTGGGGCCAGGGCCATCTGAGAGTTATGTGCTGACTCTGGAGCCTCCAGAATCTGACATCAGCAAGGCAGAGAAACAGGGGGACCCTGTTCCCAGTGTGCGCTTGCACAGAGCTGCCAGAAGGCAAGAACAGTTAAGACAAAAGGGGTGACTCGGGAGTAAGGTTTGGAGATGATTGGCCCCTCCCATAAGATATAAAGGAGGAGCAAAGGGACATGAGCCTTTGCAGGAAGCAACTTTGTTCATTCTAATCGGTTTAAACTCTGACTTTGCCCTCCGTTTGGCCATGTACAGCTAATTGGCAATTTAGTCGTTGGCAGCATTTCAAGGGAGATAAAAGTGGGTGCTTATCAGCCTTATCCTGAAAGGACTGTGGTAGACTTCTGTTGAACTATTCACAAACTGTTTAGGACACATTACGGACTGTGAATGAATATAATTCACAGCAGTTGAAATAAAAAGAGGGTTTTGGGGACTAAGCGTGTGATTGTTACTGTCTCAGGAAGCCTTGGTCAGAACACCAAGGAGATGTTCATCATGGGAAGCTGTTGTTGGGGTAAGAAGACCTGGCTTGTCCCCGTGCTGTCCCTCTCTTAATCCTGTTTTGGTGTAGTTTTAAGTTTTTAAATTTGCATCGCTTTAATATTTTAAGTATTTTTCTAATTGACTTTTTATAATCTGCAAGCTGCCCAGAGTTGCCCTATAGGCATTAAAATTTAATAAATAAAAATATTATGTTAGAAGTGTAAAATGAAGGAGAGGTAATTTACAAAGCAGTGTTTGTTTCATTTGATGTTCATAAATGTATTAATATACTTTTGAAAATAGTAATATGGTTTAAGGATGTGAGTGTACTTGGGAATTTTAGCTGCCAAAACTGGAATGTATCGCTGTACAAAGAATTATGGACTTGTAAAGCATGTAGTGAAAGTCAGTATTCTTTTTCAATTAATAGATAATAAGCTATTCACCACCAGTATTAATTACCTAGGTTTAGTTAAAGCAACAGTTAAAACCAAGGAGGCCAACATCAGTAACCAGAGTCCAATAGCCAGAATAATACCTAATGCCTAAGGACCTATAATGTAAAGTATTATATTAGCTTGAAGATAATTAGCATCATTCAAAAAATTACTGGTTGATATTTGTACATGAATTCTATTTTCATTAGTTATCTGCACTGATGAAGAAAAAAAGAATTGTATGAGGGGACATATGCAGATGCCTAAAGCGTCCAGCTTTTAACAAGAAATTTATTCATCTAACAACTCACACAATTCTTACCACTACTGTTAAATATTTTAGGCTGTTTTGAAGTGTGGTTTTTTTTGGGGGGAAGGTACCATCCCGGAATGAAGCTACTGTATTGAGGTAGCAGAAAAATAGGTTACCCTAAAGAAGTTCTTTGATGTAGATTTGCTGCCATCTAGTGAATTGTAATAAAGAGAGGAAAGAAAATTTTGTTTAAAGCTTCTCAACATTGTTGAGGCTAAGACTGAGTGTGGTTTTCTGCTCATCTTCCATCAGCCCACTCAAAGAATTGTTTCATTTGGCTTCAGGGAAGTGCCATGTTAAGACCTAGGCCTGGAATATGGCATGGTTTCAAATGGAAGAATAGCAGAGCAAACCACTGGAGCAAATTACCACGGGCAAATTATCAACTCCAAAAACCTGTTGGAGTTCATCACACAGAGTGAAGGGAAAGGAAACACATTTCCTTTTCCTCTTTCCAACTTTTCTCAGTGTTGTGTTTTCTGTAGCTTTAGGTTATGTTCCCATTCATTCCATTAAAAAGGAAAATAGATGCAGTCCCAGAGACATGTGTAGGCAGGTTAGTTCTTGATTAGGCCCTTATCAACACAAGAGATATATGGAAATTCTATCACACCCAAAAGGAAAGCATTTCTAATTCTATCTCTTGTTGAGTGGATGGGAGAAAAAGATGCAAGAAAGGTACACCCTGATTATTAGAAAAGAACTCACATTTGATATGGAGCAATTGCTGGGATTCTTGTGAATGGGTATCTTAATTTTCCTACAGTGAATTACTTGGAGGGAGTACTTAAATTTGATTGTGGCTGCTTAATGAGTTTCAACTCAGCCTGCCAGGAAATCTACAATATCCATTTTCTTATGGGGCACCTCACAGCACCCTAAAATTAATTCTTACTCTATTGTGCACCGAAAAAGGAAGAATTGTCTGTTAAACTTTGGTCAAAGATATGTCTGATCAAATGTTAGGATGGGTCACAGATGCAGACATCATAAAGAATATACTATATGTTAAATGAAGTGTAATGTACATACAGTTGATTACAAAGGTTTATAATTCTGCTTAGTCTACTTTGCTGTTAACAATGCACAGTGTGCAAATACAAAATTTCCTTGCAACAGCATCTTTATTTGCCCAAAGAAGCTGTACTTAAATTTCTTCTGACTATCCTGCAAATGGGCTAAGAGGTTGTTTTATTACAGTAATTTACTGTAAGCATGGCCAGTAAAGCAGGACATGATCCCATGATTACAACAACAAAACAGCCTAGGAGCACAGGAGATAATAGATGCATTTTTCCCTTCACTAAATACTGGAAGGTCAAATGCAATTCCCATGGGAGAGCAATCCGTAGCTTTGGAACCATACTGTAGAAGACCTTCTCCTGCATACTAGACATCTGACAATTCTGCTCCAGAATTGACTAATCCACACATCTTAAAGTTGGGATCACAAGACTGTCCAGTTGTTGAAGCAAGGCAATTCTTAAGTCTTCAGTATTATAACATGCTCTACATGGGGCTGCTCTTGAAAAGTATTCAGAATCTCCAGTTGGTTCAAAATGCAGCAGCCCGTATGGTTTTATGCAGATGTAGATGTGCACAGGTGTCATTTCTCCTGCTGGAAGTGCACTGGCTGC